TGTAACCTTGGACAAATTAATCTCCCCAGGCCTTCTTTTCTTTTCTTTTTTTTTTTTTCCTTTTTGTCTTTTTTTTTTTTCGTGACTGGCAATGGATCGCAACCCTCAGTGTCGCACCCCTACCGGACCGGGACCGGCAACGGGATCGCAACCCTTGGTGTTGCGCCCGCACCTCGCTCAGCCAGTGAGTGGGCCAGTCTGTATGTGGGATCCGAACCCTCAGCGGGAGCGCCGCCATGCTCCCAAGCGGCACACTGTAGCAGTGCGCCACCGGGCCGGCCCCAGGCCTTCTTTTCTTCATCTGCAAAATGGCAAGAAGATAGATTCTCCCCCTAGATCCTTCAGAAGGAGCACAGCTCTACTTACACTGAGATTTTAGCCCAGTGAGACTCGTTTCAGACTTCGGGCCTCCAGAACTGTAAAATAATACATTTCTGTTGATTTAAGCCCACTAAGTTTATAGTAATTTGTTATAGCAACAGTAGGAAACAAATACAGATTTTGGTAAAAATACAGTACTCATCTGTCAGGTCTGTTGAGAAGATGAACATAAAGTGCCTATCACAGTGCTGAGAGCACCGCCACTGCCCGTCAAAGGGCAGCTTTCGTCACCATTTTGTTATTTTGGAAGACAGGAGTCGCTTTCTAAGTTATTATGTGCCACTAATACTAACAGCCTAAAGGAAAAGAAGAGAACAGAGTGAAAAAGGACACAGTTCTAGCAGCCAGCAAGTTCAGAATATCTTGCCCATCAATATGCTCCGGCCCTCCATACACTAACCACAGCTGGGCTGCCTCCCTGGCATTTCCTAGCAGGTCCTTGTCTAGGTTTCTTCGACTTGTGCTTTTCTTCTTACTCAAAGCAGGCTCTCATCTGCCTCTTTCCTTCTTTTCTCCCTCTCTCGTCTGCATTTCTCTAATTCTGACCCTGCAATTCTCCCATGGAATATTCATTTGCCCTCCCCCCCTTTCAAAATTCTGTGGGGCAGAGTCATCTCTGGAAAAGTATGTATTTTACGCCACATAATTGAGTCACTGCGGCCACATCCCTCATTCAGGGTCCCATCAGCTGCTTTCTGGATCAGTCAAGGCCCCCCCCCCCTCATTGGTGGCCGACCTAACCACTTCCCTTTTCTCTCCACCCCTACCTTTCCTCTTTATTTGACTGTGGACAGTCATTTTTGTTTTGAATCCATGTTGCTGTAGTCACAGTTTAAACTCTTTGGAAGAAGAAATTGACTTCTTTCTGTACTTTAAGCCTGACTAATCACCATGAATAGTCTGCAACCTGACAAATGTGCATAGTTAGTACTGGTCAATAATGGTGCCGAATTTAGCCTCTCTAGATTTTTGCCCCTTACTCTCTGTATTTCTGTTATCTGAACTTCCGCCTTTCAATAATAACCCAACTGGTCAGGGATAATGTCTGTACTTACCAGTAATGAACTTTACTATGTGACTGATCCAGCTACATGACTAGGGTTCTCCCTAGGGGGAGTTTGTGCATTAACTCCCTTTAAGTTACTAAGGCTCCACTCAATCGAACATGTAACAGTCACTGGAAAGAATGAATGACATTTCTAAGCAGAAAGAAATGAATGGCATTTCTAGGCAGAAACTGCACATAGGATCTTGTAACAATGGCCCAGATTCTTCCATTCCTTCAGCAAACATTGACCCACTACGTGCCAAATTCTGAGCCAAAAATGCTCATAAATTTTAACTCTTTAAATACCCACAGCTACCCACATGAACAAGTAAGGGAAAATATTTAGAGATGTTTAAGATTTTTTGAAGATTGTTAATACTTACACTGTAATGTAACCATAAAGTTAAAATTTAGTCAAGCCTGAGTCACATAGAAGGCTTGCCTCCCACTGACCCTCCTGACTTCCAGGACTTAGGCCAAACTGGCTAATTTGCTATCTCGTGCTCACCTTGCTCTTCTATGTCTCTACTCCCTAATTTTCCCTTTCTCTTTACCTGGAATGTTGCCCACCCCATCCTTCCTCCCACACATACCCACCTCTGTTCTACTTAACAAAACCATCCACATCCTGCAAGGCTGGCATCTTCCCTCCTCGGAACTCCCTCAGTATATAAGGTCTTACTACATGTATTATAACTGTTTGGGAACGTAGTTTCCTCCCTACAAAGGCAAAATTTGCAATACAACAACCACTCTTACATATCTTTATATACCTCAAATGCAAATTGTATCATTTAATACATTTTGATTTAGAGTATGAATGCATGAATTAATTAGCTGATTAATTAAGTTAATCAAATGTTTGAGATGTAGATGGCTTTTCTCAAGGTGTTTCAAGTGCAGAAGCCAATGTGATTGACCCAAACACTTACCCTTGTGCTCCTTCCAGAGAATCTTCCAGGAGGCGGGAGGCCCACATTCAGCTGTGTGTGGCACTAACCCTTGTAAACAGTTTCTGGGAGCCAGTGTGGGCTGCAGGGAGGCACTTGGGCTCTGCAGTCACACAGACCAAGGTCTCTGGCCCAAGTCTGCCTTCCTGGTTGTATGACCCTGGGGAACCTGATTTACCAATTTAAGCTTTACTTTCATGATCTGCAAAATGGAGCCTCCTCATCTCTTTTCTTTTGCTACCTAATTGGGTTATGAGAATTAAATGTGTTCATGTCAAATTACTCTATGAGGTTCAACATTTATTCTCCAAATGCAACGTGAAATTGGCATTACCACTGTTTTCAAATTTTGACTTTTATTTTGATAAAATGCTCTAATGCTCTATTTTGTTACCTTTTTAAAAATGAATCTCCCTATCATGGTCCCTTTATTTACATTTTCTTAAAAGTTTGAAGTTTCCGTCATGCAATTATATTAAAGGTAAAATAGAGGGAATAGGGAACATTCATTGCACTAACTTTTCCTACTTTATCTTTCTGTGTGACATCTAAGAGGGACTGTGAAAACAGAGTATTTAGCAATAAGAAGAGAACGTTTTCGGGGCCGGCCCGTGGCTCACTCGGGAGAGTGCGGTGCTGATAACACCAAGGCCCCGGGTTCGGATCCCATATAGGGATGGCCGGTTCACTCACTGGCTGAGTGTGGTGCTGACAACACCAAGTCAAGGGTTAAGATCCCCTTACTGGTCATCTTTTTTTAAAAAAAAAAAAAGAAGAGAACGTTTTCTATGTGATTTAATCCATAGATTAACAAATCTATGCATGTAAGCTGTCTTTTGCAATGTTATGGTGCTATTTCTCCTGATCCTTCCATTGCTTCATTCATTAAAATATGTTTGTGATTAAAATTTTTTTTTTTACTTTTTAAATTAAGATTTCTTGTTATAATGTTCTCCCTCACTAGTCAGTAAAGGGAACCAAATTCCTATGATTGCAATATTCGGTTTACATTGGCTTTTATTGATAGAAGAGCAGATATTAAATGATTTCTGTCCTTTAATATTTTCTTCTAAATTTAAACATTAAAACTATGAATCCAAATTTTGGCTGCTTTCATTTTCTGAGAGTGATATTATTTATTGAATATTGTCAAGTTCAGAGCATTATTCAAATATTCAATGCCAAGATACAATGCTCTACTGTTTCAAGATAAGAGGTTTCTGCATTATAAATAAATACACTTACAACAAAAGGAAAAAAAATAAATAATGCAGGCAGAGGAGAGAAAGTGCTGTTCCATTTCTTCTCTTGAAATGGCCTCCCCACTTTTCACCCTCGGGGTGGGCTGGCCCTGTCTGCGAGGCTGCTGCTGTGGTCAGTTCTTCTAAGCCTGGGTTTCTGTGGAGAAAGGGCTCTGGAAACACCCTGAAATTGTGTATGAGTAAGCAGAGGTGCATTTTTCTGGGAAGGAAATCTTCAACTTTCATCAGATCCTAAGAGTGATACCGCAGCACTCCAGAATGGTTAAGAATCTCCGCTCTAAGCTGTAGCTGATTCCACAGCTGCTTCTCTGCCTGTGCTTCTGAACTCTTAGGTTTGCTAAATGCTTGGGTTCTAATTGTCTCCACTACAGGCACCTGAGAACTCCCAGTGGCTGAGAGAAAGGGGAAGGCAGACAGGGCACGAATAGCACTATTTTCTCCATAGAAACTTTCTAAGACATAATTTTTCCTTATAAAAGTGAATTCTCACTAAAGAAAATTTAGAAACTAAGGAAAAACAGAAAGAAGAAACAGAGAAAAGCACTCACATTCTAAGCCTGGTGCCACTGCAGTAGCTGTGTGACCTTGTTCCTTAGTTTCTTCACTTGTAAAATGGGTGTAGTATCTACATTATAGGGTGGCTGTTTCTGCATTAATTTCTAGTATATGGCTGACACTCAATAAATATTAACTATTCTGTCAAAAAAAAAAAGGCAAGTAATGTACCTAGTAGAGTGGGACATAGGGGGAACTAAATGTCAGACCCTCTTTTCTCTCCGCTTCTCCTCTTATGTGACAGGACACTTTATTCACCAACTATTTTTTTGACGATAACAAAATATTCACCAAGTAATGGTTTTTAACAGCAGCTCACAGCCCACCTGAGAACCATCCGCTAACTCTGGTCATGAGTTGTCTTTTGAGTTTCAGTTTGCCCTGACCAAGGGTGGTGAGGGCTACACCAGGGACCCTCAGTGTGCTTAGACCCCGCCCAGTCATCGCCACCTCAGGTCTGCTCCTTATGCCCTCATCGACCTTGTGCGTCCTCAGTTCATCATCCAGAACTATGTATTCCATATACTCCATACCTGAAAGAACTCCTGAAAGGCACTGATCAGACTCTGAAAGGCTTTATTTTTTCTTCTTTACAAAATGACTGTGATTACTGAGCTCAGGAATCAAATTTCCTTCATTGCTAAAAGATTGTATGACTTTGGTTTGCCTGCTTTGGGATGCAAGGAGACAATTCAAAATGCATGATGTTAGTCATGTCATGGAAATGGTAGCAGTAATTGTCACCTGCTCCTATTAAATTGTGATGTTCTCAACTGTGACTTCAGCTTGTGGGAAATCCTGAAGATGGCCAAAGACGACTCCACTGTTCGTTGCTTCCAGGGTCTGCTGATTTTTGGAAATGTGATTATTGGTGTAAGTAGTGAGTATTTTTCAGGAAATTCTGCTCTTCTCGTAATCCTGATTTTAGATTAATAAAAAATGAGAGTTTAAAGGAAAATAATAATGTAATTACTGGCTCCCTATATATTTTCTTCATTTTAAGAAATGTGTTAGTAAATATGCTAGCTAGAACTTAACTATATAAATAATCATATATAACTATGTAATATGTCAAAAGACCATTTTTGAAAAAAGTAGATATTTCCCTCCCAACTTTAAAACACAGAATCTAGGGCCGGCCCGGTGGCGCACTGGATAGTGCGCCGCTTGGGAAGCACGGCAGCGCTCCCATCCAAGGGTTCGGATCCCACGTACAGACCGGCTCCCACTCACTGGCTGAGCGAGGCGCGGGAGCAACGCCGAGGCTTGTGATCCTGTCGCCGGTCCCCGGTCCGGTACGGGGGCAACACTGAGGGTTGCGATCCGTTGCCGGACACGGAAAAAAGACAAAAAGACAAAAAAATAAAAAAATAAAAAAATAAAATAAAACACAGAATCTAAAAGGAGTCATGTCAGCTATGGTCAGTGTCCAAACACTCCTCCCACATGCACATTGGTGTTTCTTTCCTGTTTCACCTTGGTTTGATTTCCAAGGGATCCTGCTGTTAGAGTTGATGGGGGCGTGTATTTGCATTTTCTTGTTTTCTTCATACAGAGGCCACTACCAGGATGTGAGAATGGCTCAGAGCCAAGCAGCAGGGGTGTGCTGGGGAGGAAGAGCACTTGTTTGGGAGTCAAGAGAGCTAGCTCTTGGCCCAGCTCTGCCTCTGACTTCCTGTGTGACTCTGGACAAGTCACCACCTTTCCTCATCTATAAAATACAGGTGTTGGGATAGAGAACCCACCAAGGTTTCTTCCAGCTGTCACCAATAAACATGACCAGGACCAGTTCAAATATTACACCCAGGAATTTAAGCAATGAGGCCGTGGGGTTGGGGTTGGGGTTGGCAGGGGCAGGGGGGATTATCTTAATATAGAAAGGCATCATCTGAGTGGTTCATGGCCTAGCGATGTTATGGATGGTCTGAAATTGTCTGGGTCTCTTCCCAGATAGACAGAGTGAGACATGGAAGAAGGTAGGTGTCCCTAAAGACCACCTTCACTCGCATCCCAGCCTCACTTTGGGCCAGCCACGTGTGTGAGAGGAGAAGGCCGGTGAATCGCTGTGTGCCTGGCGGCTGCCTGCTCCCCCTGCTGAAACTGGATGCTCATCAGGAGGGACACCGGGTATCCAACAACAGCCAGTTCATCTTTTCCTGACCTCTTTGATTTTAAATTTCAGCAAACCAGAAAGAAAATTTCTCCCAGTTAGAGGGGATTTATGAGACTGTACATCATGCGTGATACACTAAGACTCTCACGCCAGCCATTGAGCATGCACACACGTGTACACACACGTCATTTCATTCTCTTACATTTGTTTTCCCAGCTAAAATAGAAATTCAGGATACTGGACTGAGAAAGCTCTGTATCCAGTGACCATTTGTTCTCTGGAGAAAGAGGGAGGGCTGAGCTGACTAGCACCGAGTCTTACTCCTAGCACATAACACCAAGCCCCATTCCAAGCAGCTGATCAATGAGGGTTGTTGAATAACTATGTGAATGACTGGATGATTTTATATTTAGACAAATGTGCTGAAAATTCATAACAATCATTTGGGGAAGGCTGTCTTTGGGGGCAAATATAATTATTTTTTCTCATTTGTTTCTCTTCCAGTATTTCATTCTGATGTTTATAGCATATGGCTTTGAAGTGGCGTCTTGTATCACTGCAGCAACACAACGAGACTTTGTGAGTACAGTCTCAAAGAGCACAGAAGATGATAATAATATGCATCATTATTATCATAATAGTATAATATCTGATGTGTATGAAGCCCTTACTACGTGTGCCAGGCACTCCAATATGCACATTCATAACACATATGTAATTTAACTTAATCCTCATAAACCTGTGAAATAGACATTATCACTATTGCCATTTTATAAATGGAAAAACTGAGGCATAAAAAAGTAAAAGAACTTGTCTAAAGTTACACAGCAGGCAAGTGAAAGAGCAAGAATCCTGAGTCCAGGCAGCCTGACTCTCACGGCCACACTTGTGACCCTATACTTGTCACCACTCTGCCATGCCACTGGCCTCTCAATGGGGTGATGGATATTCCACCACAGCTAAGGTTTACTCTCAATTCAACATCTTTCTTCCTCTTTCCCCTGTCACAGGCCTAAGCCACCCTATGATGTTTGTTCACAGTGATTTCTCTGAAGATGGGGATCTTCTCTCTAGACAAGGACTTTAGCCAACCCAAAGCAGCCTCAGCCGACTGTCCTTGGTGCCTCTGAGTACAGTTTTTCTCCAGGAGAGAATGTTCAGTGACCCCAGCAACAGGCTGAGAGAAGTATTTTTCCATCCTTGGGGATTAGTGTGCTCACTCTCCCTCTTGTGTTGCCTCTTCCCACCGCAGTTCACACCAAACCTCTTTTTGAAGCAGATGCTGGAGAGGTACCAAAACAACAGTGCTCCCAACAATGACGACCGATGGAAAAACAATGGAGTAACCAAAACCTGGGACAGGCTCATGCTCCAGGTAAGGCCTGTGGTCTTGAAGAGATGCCATTTTGCATTTAAACCAGTAACCCAGGGGGTGTGGTTGGGAGTGAGGTCAAGGTGTGAGGACCACAGCCTCTGAGGGGGCTTCCTTCAAAAACAAACTTGCTTTAGGTAAGGTTGTCTATTCCTCTTATCTACTGGCAGGTGGGGTTGCACACATGACTCAGTGGAACTCGTAGATCTATAGTTTATTTCAAGCCATGATGGAGATGACCTTATATTTACAGGAATAATGACAATGTCAAGAAATTTAGATTAATCACACATTCTGCCTCTTAGAACTCAGGTATCACCTACATTAAAAGAAAAATGTTGCCTCCTCCACCCCACAGTACACTCAAGTGGCAATTACTGCCTGTTTTGTCTTTTTGGTACCTCTTCACACCTCCTATGAGCTAGTCCTGCAAAATGCCAGGGACTATGAGTTGATTTGATCACAGTTTTCTCGAACCGGCCATCATCTATCCAAGTTTATCTTAAATAGTGTCAAAAGTCCAAGTCTTCCAGAATATCCATCATCGCCCGCACATTGTCCTGTGTACATAAGTTGTTATCTTCTACATAACCCCTAATCTGACCCAAATCTCACTATGTCCCCGGCTTCCCCTCCCCACCCCACCACCAACTTTGCACAGTCTGTCGCCAGCACACTCCCTGACAGCCTGCACGCTTTCTTTGAACTCTCTTTACCCTCTTTCTTCACCAGAAACCTCGCTGTCTGCTGGTGGACACACCTTCTCATTTCTCTCCAGTACCCCGTGCACCACAGGGCCTGGAAATTGGTGGGTGTCCTCCCTCTCCCCTTGGCTGCCGTACAATTTCCTCCCTTCATTCCTTCCTCCTTCAAACATTTGAAGTTCCTGTTATCAATCTGTGTCACCTGTTATCCCTCCTTTTTGTCATTGTTTATCAGCCTCACTGCACCCAGTCGTTCTTCTGCCTTCACGGAGGATTTCAATATCTCGCTCACTGTCTACCTTTCCACTCATATTCCTGCCATCTCACCTAGAGACTTCACCATCCACCTGGATGACTCAGCCAGTGTCTGGTCTCTCAATTCTTTGTCCTACTCCACGTCAAAGACTTTGTCCTCCCCCCTACCACAGCCCCCACTGCCATGGCCACAGCCAGCAAGGTCATCACCAATAACTGTGCCACTTAAGAAAATCTCACTCTCTGAACACTGTCTTCTATAATTCTTTAATTCATTCTAATATCCCCACTCCAATCATTTTCACTTACCCAATTAGTACCTTCAATTAACTGGCCACTTCTTCCCTCTCTACCACCCTTTTCAGCCCTATAATCACTCCTGTATCAGCCTCCTTTATCCCCCTACCTGTCTCTGTTCATCACTCTTTCTTAGCCAACCCCCACTGTAGTTGATACAACTTTTTGCCCACTCCTCCTCTATACCCTAAGAGCTAAGCATTGCTGGGAAAAGTCACACAACAACCATGCTGACAAATCTCAGTTTTAATTTATGACCACAAAGCTCAAATGGTCATGATTTAGTCTATTTCATGTTGCTATAACAGAAATACCTGACACTGGGTAATTTATAAGGAAAAGAGGTTTATTTGGCTTACAATTCTGGGACAGCAGCATCTGGCATGGAACTCAGGCTGCTTCTACTCATGGCGGAAAAGTGGCAGGGAGCCAGCGGGTACAAGCAGATCACATGGCGAGAGGAAGCAAGAGAGAGAGAGAGAGAGAGAG